TCTCCAATCTATGTTTTACAAAGACAGAGATCAGAGGAAGCATTCTTTTTTAATGTGGCACAGTTAGCACTTAAATGAAACTTAAGATTTAGCATGAACAAAAATCCGAAATTACAACGTCCTATCAAAACGTTCTGCTTCCTTCAATTCCTCACTTTTCATACTTTCAAACACGTCTTTGTCTGCGTCTACGTCTGTATTTCTTACTCTTATAGAAACTATACAGTGTACCAAACACAAAAAAGGTGTATAAAACACACCAAAGAAAGAGGAACTCCAACCTTTTCAAAATATGAATAAGCAAGGACACACAAGATGGATTAATCTTTTGAAGAGTGAAACATCACGATTACTAGCTATGTTTGGCAAGCCTTATTCTTCAGTCATATTTTGAACAGTCGGCAGAACAAAAAGTTTCGAGTTTTTCCAATGAACGTACACTATCATAGACGCCTTTTGATGTCATCGAAAACTGTTGTTTAAAAAGTCGATAGATTTTGTTTGATCAATACAATTAATTAATTAACTACCACTTTGCTTTTACATAACCAAGCGGGGGGAAACATTCACATTAAAAATCCAAATTGAAAGCCTAGGTTTTAGAGAAAAGTTTTCCGGAGACCCCCAAGAGACCCTCTGCAAGTCTTTTGAAAAATTTTATTTTTTATCCATTGAATTCTACATCGTTTTTTACATATATGCTTATTTGTTAACAACTTCAGTGAAAATCCAAGTTTTTACTCGAGGTTGACCACACCCATTTTTGTGTACAAAACTCAATATGATAAAGGATCGACTACCGGTTTTTTTATAATACTATGAACGTGTATAAATAACAAAATGAATAGAAAAAATAAAATTTTGAAATTAGTACGACATCCAATCCCAACACCGAGTAGTGTGTTGGAAACCCCATGAAAAACTGAACAAAGCTATGTGTTTTCAGTGGGGAACGAGTTTTGTTTTAATAGAAAAATGAGCTTTAAAACTTGTTAACCTATGGTGGATTTCTGAATTTTAAAAAATTTCATAGACAAATCCGACCAAAAATTCTGATTAAATTGATTCTTGTAGAGAATTAATTCTCTACACAATGAGATCAATCATAGTTTCGTAGAAGAAGCCGTTCAGTTGATATATCAGAAATACATTTACTTATCAAAACGGCGTTAAAATCTGCTGGCAAAAGCGCCATCTTACTCAGATAAAAAGGCACTTTCTTTAAAAGTTCTATTCCGGCTTTTTTGGGTATCACACAGATTTGCGGTTGGCCTCATTTTGTAGAGAATTTAAGCCAGAATTTTTAGCGGAGTCTGTCTATGATATTTCTTTAAAGTTCAAAAATCGGGTCAAGTTCAAAAAGTTTCAAACCTTAATTTTGCGCTTTGAAGTTAGCTAGTTCTGAATAAAAAGAACACTGCGTTGTTCGATTTTTCGCGATCTTTCCAACGCACTACTAGGTGTTGAGACTGGGTCGCCCGGTGATTGGTGAACTCCAGTTTCCTTTGCACCATTATACTTGAGAATTATCTAATTAAGTACTGAAGGTGGGACAAAAATATTTCATCCAGAATATAGCGCGTGAAATTCTGCATCGAATGGTGTGTCGTTGAAAATTGTTGAGCAAAATGTTTATGTCAGGAAAGCGGGAATACAAAAAATGTTCCTAAAATTATAACCGCTGAAGCATAATAATATTTGCTATAACTCCGTCACATCAAGCCCGATCCTAACGATTTTTGTAGCGTAGGCATCCCAAGAGACAGGTTCTCTTATGGCAAAAGAATTCGGTTCTAGCAGTGGACTTATAGCAAAAACAAAAAGGTCCTACAATTATGTCGCTGACTTTAGCTTGTTGTGCGATTTACAAAGAGTATGGCAGTTCAAATTGAAACCACAAAGCAGAATTAGAAATACTTATTTATGGTATAATGGAAACAATGAAGCTAATTAATCACTGTAAGTAAGAAGAGAAACATCTAAAAGCCAGTAATAGGAAACAAATACGACAGTCGTGAAAGTGTATGTTTAACCAAAACAATATGGTGTAGCTGGCCTTAAAGATTCCTCTGTCTTCTTATCGATTACAAGAGTGAGTAAAGCAAATATTTTCGTCACATTTTACCTTTCTTCTTGAGAGAATAAAATAATTTAGAAACAAAGGTAAAATATTTAACGTCAAGGCCACTTGCTGACATTAATAGATAGTATTCATGACATTAAATATACGCACGTATATAAGAAGAAAACGATTGATCATTACAATATGCGTAAGCAACAATTAAAACTACAAATATTATATCATTGATGTGAATATATAAATAAAATGATATGCGAAAAACGAAGAAATCAGCAGTACGAATTATCAGTAAACTGTATATATATGATGTCAACACGTTTTGTTATTGTTTGTACATTTATTATTACAAGTATCGTTCATCTTCGATTCACTGACCCTTGACTGAAAATGGGTTTTTAGCGATGATTTGGTGTTAGTATGCGCTTAGCTTTTTAAAGGGATGAAGAAACAGGAAAATTTTTGTTTATTTAAGTGTATGATTGCATTAGATCCAATGACATATGACGTGTTGAAGGACATCTTTTCTAAGATTTCATAAACTATTCCCTCCTTCACTGTACATTCAAAGCTATCTGACACATAATCTGAGAGAAGAATGTCTTTTCTACACATTGAGACGTTTGTCAGAAATTTCCTGACCTGCTGCAATAAAAAACCGACCTTTCTGTTAAAAACTCAAAACACAAACAACAAAAGTCAACCACCGACTTTCCAAGCAGTTCTGAATATATGTAGCCTCAGTGAGTTTCTGTTTCCATTCCGCAGCATTTCTACGCCAAGCCCAACACCGGCCGCGGACCACCCATAAGCATCCACGAACAGACGTCGCAAGCGTATCCCCAATTAACCATAATAACATTTCGAACAGAACACCACATCCCCACCACATACATCTTCCAAAAGCTTCAATCACAAAACTATCTCAAACTGCGAGTGCAATTGAGCGACATCCATAATAATTCAATCTGATTCGTACAAAACACGAAAAAAATGGCAAGTCTCTATGGGTAAAACGTGGAAAAAATGATAAAAAGACGCGAAGATGTCATTCCTTAGGTAATCGACCATGGCGCACCCGATGGGCGTATGTACGACGTCTCCGGAGGATCTCTAGAGGGTCTTCAGGAGAACTTCAGAAAACCTCTGCATTAAAAAGCAGTGTAAAAGCAAATGTCGACCAATAGGATTGCTCCTAGAGGTCGCTCATAGCCATTTTCTGACTCGCCATGATCGGTTACCCATACTGTATCATTTTCATGACGGAGACCCTTACCCTCTATTAGTTATCGCATTTTTGCACTATGCGGACGCCGACGCCGACATTTATTTCATATGACCCTAGACTTTCAGTCAAGAGAATAATTACTTGTGACTTCACAGAATGTCAAGGTGGAGGAGGACTCGGTAACTAGAGTCGAGAAGGATATTCGTTTCACTCATGGGTAGGCAAATTCGATCTCTCTTATAAGAAGTCACGAGATAGTGTTCAGATGTCTGTTCTTGAACAACGCCATGGAGGAGGTGGAGGGTCTCATTATTCAGGTGGACGTAGAGGCCGTGGTAAATGTGACAGAACGGTAACAGGATACGGCAGTGACAAGATTGGTGATTACACAGTCGAAGGAACCTGGTCAGATAAAACGTTGAGAATGGCAATAATAAAACAATATAAATTAGGTACCGGAAACAATCCAAGCCAGAATTTAGGACACAAAGTTCAAATACAATTGAAATGGAATGAAAAAGAAAATCAGTTTGACGGGAAATGGTATGTTCAAACATCGAAATATCATGGAGAAGATCAATACAGGCTACAATTTATATCCCAATTTACATCAGCATAAGTGGACTCATTTTGACCTTCAAAATAAAAAAATTGATTTTAAGGGAACAATTGATAACCTAACTACAGACTCAAACAGTTAACGAAGGTTTCGAAGTTGCAGAATTTTTTATAATATTTAAACTCTTAATACATATTTATAGACTTTTATAGGGAATTATTTTTAAAAAATTACGTTGATGATGACGAGATGAGGTCTGCAAGTCCTCCATTGCTTTTTTCTTGAGTATGGAGAGTTTCTTATGCTGATTTCGAATCCGATATTCATTGGTGCTGCTAGGTATTTGTACCATCGGTCCCTGGAGACCCCTCTTAAAATGTGAGATGGAAGGATTCTGATCTATTCAGATTATAGAGTACGTCGAATTACCTACATAATAAAAATGAATATTGACAAAAACACTTTGTTTACTATACCTTTTAGTATCTGATAACATAAAACATGATTTTCCTTTAATTTTAATGAGGTCAGAATAAGCGCAATTAAATAATTCTAATCCTTTTTTCTTATCCAATAAAGATTGAACAAAATATATTCATTGAAGTTTTAATATTGAAAGCACATCTTCTCTAGCTAATCCATTGACTGAATTGTAAAATGCTGAGGGCTGCGCGATTACAATTACAAAATGTAAAGTTCATACATTGCTATTATCTGTAGAATTCAGAATTCTAGAAATCTGAACTTTACATACATGTAAAGTTGCATATTCAAGCTCACCCCCACACTAGCCCCTAGAATCAAGAATTTTAGAATTCTGAACAAGTAAAGTTCAACTTTACATACATGTAAAGTTCAGAATTCTAGAATTCTGAATTCTACAGATAATAGCAATGTTTGAACTTTACATTTTGTAATTGTAATCGCGCACGTCTGAAAATGCTTCATTGGAATATAACAGAACATTAGCAGGTACTAGAGGCAAATGATAATTCCACTTTACCATTAAATGCACATAGAATGAGAATCAAATGATAGAAATATTCTGAAAGGACGAAAATACCGTTCTGTGACAAGAAGAAATCTGTAGAAATATAATTTTAAGTTTATATTACACATTTGAGAATTCTTTCTCTATTAAAACTACAACCTTTAAACATCTGTTAATTACCCTACCTTCGAACCGAATAAGAATCTGTAAGGACTCTTGTTTACTTTATTAAAAGTCAAAGACTAAAATAAATCAAACACATACACATGTCTAGAGTTGAGTACGGTCAAAATCACGGATAAAATACTATACTTAAAGTATACTATACATACTTTGTATAGATTTACTTCTCTTTCTTTCCTCACACCTTAGTTGCTTTAGATACTTTGCATACCTCAATCCTCACCCTCACCCTGCACATTTTACATATTTTCAATACTTTACTGCTAACAATAACATTCCACAACCACAAAACGCATACATCAAATCCTCAAGTCACTTACTTCATATTTTGCCCACCGACCAAACAACTCTTGGCATCTTGTATAAACACTCACAGCCAACCGACCCACCCAGCACCTTTTCCCTCTCCAGGCATTCCCAGCA